CAATAGCTCTTCAGAATAATTCAATTACCTTCACAAAGCACTGGCTTTTTGCTGCTTTGTTTCATTGTGATCCCGAGCAGTGAGTGGAGGGGTGAAAACACCGATGTTATATCCCCTTTTTTTTTTTTTAATTTGTGCTCTGCATTTTGTTTGTAACATTAAGTCTTGCATATGTGTACTGCTGCTCTCCCACAGATAAAATGAAAAGTTGTATATATCAACTTAGTAGGTTCAACTGCATGTTGTCCTTTTGATGATCTGCAATCAATTTCCCAGGCATTTTCTTCTGGACTACATGCACAAATCTGCCTACCAAACTGCTAAATACTTCCAGAGGTTTGCATAACATGGTTTTGAATTACTTAAAATGGTTTTGTTACATGTTTGTGTTATAACAATTTGATGCTACTGAATTAGCAACAGTCTGCAGAGACATAAGCAAGTGCGGATTTTAACAGGAGAATTGAAATAAATTGGACCTGAATATTTGGACAGAAAACCTTAGTATATTTACTGTGACAGCATTGTATTGGGCTCTAGGGCAGCCTTTCAGTAGAGGTTTTGGAAGTCAAGTAACCCAAATCATTTAGATTAGAAAGACACACTAGCAAAGTGGAAAGACTTATTGTATTTCAAGAGTAAAAATTTAGTGTTTCGTGAGCTTGATCAGTGCAAACAGTATGTTTGAAACTGTTGAAATTATTAAGATTTGTGGTCTGTGTATTTAAATTACACATAGTTGACCCTTCTTCTTTGGTTTGTGCACCAGCAGGAGGAAACAGATGATTTGTTTCAGAGTATGTACATTCCACATACACACACAGTCTGGGTAAGACACATGCTGCTACTATTTTTTTTTGTGTGATTTTGCTTTCTTTTTTTCACTTTCTTGTGCTAAACTTCTGATTTTTCTGGTCTCTGCTGTTTAGTTAGGGGGATTTCTGAGTCATTAAATAATGTCCCTTTGATCTCACAGTGTCTTTAACTTGGCTGACACTCCCCAGTAACCCAGGTTAGCACCGACAGGCTCTGTAGGGATGGGCTTTAAAGTGTTATTGAAATAACTCCTGTGTCCTGAAAACCTTGGGTACACCTCCACCCCCTCTTTCCCTGTCACTGATAAGCACTGATTCTGTCAGCTTTTTTGAGGGATGTGGTGGAAAATGCAGCAGAGTGACAAGCTGCAGTTATCCTCTAGTATAAGTAGATGCAGTAGCAATAACCACAGCAATAAAGCAGAGTGCACTTAGATCAGACCTCATCTGGGGCTTGGGAGTGATTCCACACATGCATAATGCTTTCAGTTTTCTGTTGCTTTCAGGTGGATGGAAAGCATCCTTGTGTATTTTAAGGTGAACAACTTGTTTTCACTGGGGTAATCACCAGAGCTCTTCATGTTACATGAAGGAGATTCAACCCCCACTTCTCTGCAGGATTTTCCTGCCATCTGTAGGAGGAGAAGGCAGGCATTAAGAAGGGAAGTTGTTTCAGCCTCTAACAGTGTAATGAAGACTCTCAGAAGCTCTGTTAGGGTAGAGTGTGTAATGGCTGGCAATTTCTGGGTACCGTGTAAAATCTGTGGTTGCAGTGTGGAGGCTGACATGCACAGATGGAGACTGATGTAGACTCTTGAGTGTTTTGAGGAAGGAACAGCAATTCTGTGAGAATTATTATTATTATTGTGTAGCACTCAAGAGCATTGGTCTAAGCAAAGTGCTGGAAAAAAGCATCTTGACATTTCAGTGGCTTAAGAGTGGGAAAATATTTTATTCACTTGTTGCAACTGATTTTCTAACTGAGAATTTAGTAGAACTGATGAAGGGATATTATTATTCCTACTATAATATCTTCCCAGTTCTGTTTTCTATGAGGTATTTTATGTTCACTGGTGAGACTTACCCAAACTGTAAGAGTCATTCCATGTAAAAATGATACAGTGTTCAGTAAACTCAAAATTACATTTGAGAAGGAGGTATCCATCTGTAATAAACAGAATAAGGAGGAAAAACACAGACAGAAAAAAAACAGGTTTGTCTTTTGTATAAGAACAGCAGAACGCATTTAGGACATAGGAAACAGAATAATGTTATTTAGGGCTGAGCTTCTCTAAGGAGGTCTTCATATTCCTGTAAACAGAAAGAAACTGCTGATAGGTGCTTAAATTCAGTGCTTGTTTTCCTGCTCTTTAGTTCAGCCAAACCTAGGTGTCTATCCATAGCAAACCCTGCTTTATTTTCTATGGAATTAGAGAAGGATCAAACTACATGTGCAGTGTGTGTGTACTCCTTCGTATGAGAATTAATTCTTGTGGTGATATGGTTATGAGCATGATACCCACCTAAGGTTTGCATTTTAAGTGTGCACGATGAATTGTGAATAAAGGTTTACTGATGTGGTCATTTATTTAACTGTACAGTTATAACAGACCAAAACTAATAAAGCTACAGTGGTTTCTTGTTCCCTTGCTTATATTCTAGCAAAAGGCATTTCTGATTAGCAGCAATTTCTTTGCCTAGAAGCTGACTTCCTTTTCAGGCTTTCCCATGGTTTTTCACAGGAAAATATCAGCCAGCTGAATTTCTGGTAGTAAATTTGTAGTGCCATTTGAGCTTGGGACTTGAAGTGACCAAGTTGTGTTCCTTAAGAATTGTGCTGCTATGCCAGTTTCTCCTTCTTCTCCATGTTTCATAACCATCACAAGCTTTATCTTCAGCTGTGGCAGAAAGCAGAGGTCGTTATTTGAATCAGGATGTTCCTGGTTCAAAATAGAAGTGTACTATTTATATCTTAACATGTTTACCATCTGACAGCTTCCTATGCTCTCACAGGAATGAATTAAAGACGCTGGTTTAGTTCCTATTGCAGTTATTTGTATCACTGAAGTTGCTTTTCTGTTGAGTACCTCAGCAGGAACAAGGATTGACTGCTGCTTGTTTCTCAACCAGCTTTCTTCTCTCCAGGAGCTGAATCCCATGTTTGCTAGAGTTGATTCCAAGTTTTCATTGTTTTCAGAGGATATAGTGTCAAATTGCAGGATGATTTTTGCAGACAAGATCTGAGGCAGTGTTTTATTTTAGTTATTTACTTGACCTCATAAGCCTTGCTGTTAGTTAGTGCCTTTCTGTACTGTCTCTCACCTCCTTCTAGATTTGGTCTCTGAAATACATCAGCTGAGTGTAACTGGCTTTGCAGGCTGGGCTTTGTTTGCTTCTTTGCCTTAATTCTCTCCAGAAACAGTGATTAGCAGTGATCCTTTCTTATTTATGTTTACAGAAAAATACTACTCCACGAAAAGCTGTAAGAGACATAAATGACCCATTTGCTGTTCTACCAAAAGTATAGATAGATTTAATTTACATCAGAAATTGTGACTGGAAAGTGAGCCTGCTTCTGAGAGTCCTCTGTTTCTTTTGTTTCCTTTCTAGTTTCACTGCAGATTTTTGTTTTGTTTTCCAAGCTCTGCATAAATATTCACTGTGGGTTTCTTTCCCTGTTATTACCAGCCAGCCCACTGATCAGGCACAAGGGTTGCAGTCTCACTAAGTTTGTGTATTGTGTTGGAACCAGAAATCAAATATGTGAAAATGAATGTAATATGCTTTTGAGTGTTGTGATGTTCAGTGGGTGACATACATCATGAAGACCTTTCTTGTCTACAATTTGTTATGAAGATGAATCATTCTTTGGGGAAAGGTTATAGTCATGTTGTAAATAGCATTCTAAAACTGAAAAAAAAAAAAGATCCAGCAGTGATAAATAAGTACCATCTGGAATCTGAAGTATATAATTGCATTATGATTTCTCATCCACGTAAAATAAGCCCTTGAGAATGTTTAAGTTGAAGGCACAGTCACAAAGATAGCAAATCTGTTAACTTCTTCAAGTACTGAAGTGAAATGAATTAAAACAGTATGTTCCATGTGAGATGGAAAGACTCATAGAGCCAAGACGATGGAATTCCTTGTAGCACAGCTGTATGGTAGTAGGTATTTGGAGAAGCTGTGTAGTAAATTTTACCCTGTTTAAAAAAATAAAAGAGGGCTCACTTTAATTATTTGGCAGATGATAATGAATTATCATCAACAAAAGCCCCCAAATGCCTTTTGTGATTTAATTTTGGTTGATGTATCTCCAAGATGAAGCAGTGGATGCAGATGAGTTTTGTATGAGTTTGTCTAGCTTTGAGAAATATGCACTGCTGGAAATCAGTCTTTTCTGTGACCAACAGGGATTTCTGAGAAGACATAGGAAGAAAAGAAAATAAATGGGAGAGCAGTGAAGAAAGCAAAGTGCCTTTTGAAATAACTACTCTGAATCAATATCACATACATTTCTTCTTCTGCCAGCTGCCCACTCATTTTCTCTTTTAATAGAAAGACTTGTCATGGTTCTGAAACAACTAGTGTAGGGAGCCATGGAATTTCTTAGGAAGTGAGTTTCCTGTCTTAGTGGGTTTGTGCTTGCAAGACTGACTAGGTAATGGATTTGATCTCTTTATGGTGTATACAATATATCAAAATGATAGAAGCAACACTTTGTTTTTCCAAAGACACTCCTCCGATGTAGAAGCAAAACTTCAGGAATAGCTTTGTTTCCTTTCTGAATGCTTTGGTAATAAAATTTTGTTATTTGAAAACTCTTTTACTGGCATTCATTTAGTCTTGAAATGCTTTTGTGAGGGAAGCATTACTATAATGTGTGTTTTGTAGACATAGATCTGGAACACCAGATAAGTCAGTAAATTATTTGTCCCATGTATCTCACTCAACAAGCCCCTGGAGTACAAACTTGGGTAGAACCTTAACAAACCTGGCCCTGGGTCCTGTGCTCCTTGCTCAAAGCCACACTGTCTGCCAGCTGAGATATGTCTAGGGACAGACACACAGGAGACTTGCAAGACTTGCAGAATTGATTTCTTCTCTGAAAAACTACCTAGGTGACTAAAATCAAAGAGGCATTTGTTTTACTGACTTCTGTTATTCCTGTTCCTTTCCTTTTAGCTGGTGCTGCCGGAGTACTCCATCCACAGTCTTTTCTGCATAATGTTTTTATGTGCTCAGGAGTGGCTCACACTGGGGTTAAATGTTCCTTTGCTTTTTTATCACTTCTGGAGGTAAGCCCTTCTTTTATATGCTGACTGCTTTTTAGCCTTGCTTGCCAGCTCAGCACACATGCAGATTGTGTGAACAATGAAGGACAGTGATACAGGCGTAGATAAATATCTCTTGCCTAGAGGCTCTTGCCTATAAGCCCTGAAACTTTTATTTCCAGAGAAAAAGGAAATTTTTTCATCATTTAGGATGGCTAAGGAAAACATATGATAATACAATGCAGCCTTCAGTTACTTAGATGGATATTCTGAAGGGTGTCAGGATGCACTCATCACAAGTGAAAACATGGAAATTAAATAGACTGGAATCTGAATGTAGAACTTGGTGAGGCTTTAAATACTTCACAGATGGGGAGCTGCAAGACAGTTCATATCTGAAAGAGCTTGGACCTCTTCATTCAGCCCTAGCAAGGAAACCTTTCCATTGTATTTGTGAAATAGAGACTGGGAAGGTTGACAGATTTTTGTGTCTCATCTTCTTTGACAGCTTTTTTCTTCTTTTTTCAGTGTAAAGTAAGTTGTTTCTTTCTGTAGAGTAGGGAATTTCTGTTCTGCAAGGGAATTTTCTTTTAGAGACTCATGGAGTAGGGATTGGAGTAGGTGAAGAGCAGTCTCTTCACACTGCCCATATGAAGAAGTGGGGAGTGTTCCCACTCTGGATATCTAAATTGTGTTCACATTTACCAAGGGGCTTCCAGAGTTGATCACATAAGACCTGCTGTTGTTTTCCAGACAGGCAGTGCAGCTGCTGCTGCTGCATCTCCCTCTGCATTCTAGCGGAGGATCAGCCTTCTGTTGCTTCTGAAAACAACCAAGAGACATCAGTTTTTGTGGTTGTCAGTCTAGACACTTCCCTAGTTTTGTATTTTCACAATGTTTGTAAAAGCACAGATGATTTTTGTCTGTCAGGGTCTCTTTGTGTTACAAAGGTACATATGGTAGCAGAAGAATAATTCTGTAAAGAAGTCAAAATCATCCTCTCAACCAGGAACTAAAAAGCAGCAGCTTTTTTACACTTTTTTTCTGCAAAAGCTTGGTCGTAATGCAGAGTCATATGATAAAGTGTATTATTCAGAAATTAGAGTGCCAGTATAGTTCTCAGAAAGCTAAATGAAATGAAACTACAAGTGCTTTTCTCCCTATTGTTCTGCTTCAATAAAAAAGATTATGTCTTATGCTGCTCTTTTGCTGAGGGTTAACAACCCTTCGTGTGACAATGAGCCCCATTAAAAAATTTTCTAAAACTAAATATATCCAAGAGGAAAATGGTCACATTCTAAGTAATGATAGCAACTTTTGGAGAAAACTTTTGATTCTTTCTTTTTTCTATGATTCTTCATATGCTTTGCTATAAATACTCTATAATTACTGCTGCTTTAACCACAGGCAGGTTTGGGGTCATTGTGTCAAGTTCTGCACAGAACCATGGGAAGACACTGTCTAATATCTGCATCCAAATGAAGAGAATTAAGCAAGATTTCACCTGTGGTTCTCCATAAAAGAACCTGCAATCTTATTAGAGGTTGTAAATGGATGTGACTAACAATGGTAGGGAGAAAGGAAAAGTTATTTTGAGAACATCTCCTTTCAAAGTAGTGCTGCTGGTCACTTGCTTGCTGTTTTTATATCTTCCTGTCTATCTATCCATCTGTAAGCAACCAGCAATGTTCTGCTTACTTTGTCAAAGCAGCAGAAATAATAATATTTCCTCTGATTTGTGCTGATCTTAGGTCTGTTCATTAACTTTGTTGAGGACTTTTTATTTTTTGTTTTGCTTTTGCTTTTTCCTGCAAACTGAGACAAAAGCTCCTTTTCCAAAGAAGGTCTTCTGTCACGATTTTCTCAAACATTCAGTCATTACTGAGAATAATTAGAAATTTCTCCTATGTAAGAAGAAAAATATTTTCTGAAGAAAATTATTTGGATGATAAATTCTTGAGCAGTTGCACATGTAGAAAACATTGGTCAGCCACTTCTTACATTACTCCATATTGGCTTTTTTCCTTTTCAGAGTTGGAGGAACCTAGCTACCAGTTGGTTGGGACTGTCACCTTTCATCATGTCTGAAATCAGTTGTGTAGGTGCAGTAAAAGCCCCGTAATCCTTCCTCTACTCTGTGATCACAAACCACCATATATTGTCACTCATAACGTGTGAGTTATCAGCAGATAAGTCAGAAATAACTCTGTAGGAAGGGGAAATGTTTTGATCTGAAGAATTAATAGAATGCAGAAAATCCACATTCATTAATTGCTTGGTGCAGTAAGAAAGGAGTGCTTAGACTAGCATCCTGATTTTTACAATGTCTGGAAACAGAGACTTGAGAAAGAAAGGGATATTCCTCCTATATTATGGAAGATGGTAGTCAGGTGTGTATCTGCACATACTTAATACAGATTATTACAGAGTCATTCCAGGTGTCTCCTGCTCTTTCAGGTATTTTCGTTGCCCAGCAGATAGCTCAGAGCTGGCATATGATCCGCCTGCAGTCATGAACGCAGATACCTTGAGTTACTGCCAGAAAGAGGCCTGGTGTAAGCTGGCCTTCTACCTCCTTTCCTTCTTCTACTATCTCTACTGGTAAGTCTGGCCATTTCACTAAGAGAACAGTAGCTGCTTTTCATTTCACTTGTGGAATTGCATTTAGGAATGACTGGAACCAATTGGACAACTTCCTTAGTCTCATAAAAGGTTGCTTCTGCTGTTGATTCAGGGAAGCACTCCCACTGACTGCTGGCACTTCAGTACAGAATATTTAGTGTTTACCTAAAGCCGGAGTCAGGCCTCAGCACCAACCAAAGGAAAATACTTTTGCTTCTCTGTATGGTCTTTTAGGATGGGTGGAATAGCGAATGTTGTGCTAATGGCATTACATCAAATAAAAAACTATAATTCCTTATGATTTAAGAGGATCATAAGAAAAATACTATACCTTCGTTGTGGTAATACTCAAGATGGTAAATAAATGGGTAGATAGATGTTGGGTGGAAACATGGGATGCACCATGCCTCTAATAATTCCTACAGGCTCCCTTTCATGACAGGGCAAAGCCTGTGCATGATCCAAACCCCCAATTAAAGTACATTCATGGAGATATGCACACCAGTTGGGCATTGTCCCCCTGCCCCTTTCAGTTGTCACATGTCCTCAGTGCACAGGCACAAATGCCCAGTGCAAAAATAGGGTCATTTAAGGTAAGGCCTTGCCAGGATCCCAGTGCTTTTAGTCACCCCTGTAATCACACCATGGAAACTACTGGACAAGAAACTCTAACACACTTTAAATGGAGGTGATGTTTTGCTGTCTTTCTTCTACTCCTTCCTCTGTGATGTATTTGCATAGAGTTGCCTCTTCAAGCCATTCTTGCATGTAGTCATCCCTCTGCAAGGCAGGTGTGCGTGCTGGTGGAAGTATGTTTTTCTCCTCTGATTACTGGTGTCTTACCTGTTCTGCTGTTCCCCAGATCTTGAGGAGTCACTGCTGCATGTTGTTGCTTCTCAATATTCCTTTTAAATGCTATATTGAGGTTTGTGGAAAAAAGCATTTTTTAACTCCACATTTTGTATTGGGATCAAAGTCAGCTCTGTAGTGTGGTGTAGCATTTCTCCTGAGACTTTACTGCTGTGCAGCTTCCTCTGAGCCCTTCAATCTAAAACATGGCCACCATCCAAAACCCACTGCCTGGTGCTAGATAAAATAGTATAAACAGGCATTTTTTCAATGCTTTCCTAGGTATTGGCAGAATTATAATTGCAGCAAAATGGACCTGTGGCAATATATACTGTTTTCTCTGATTTTCAGAGTTGCATTTAACATGTAGGGATTCAGTCCAGCTGCTGGCTGCATTTTATGTTTTTTCTAGTGCACAGAATTTTTTTTCCAAAGGAATCAAAACAATGCAGTTTCATGGAAAACCTTGCCTGCCCTGCCGAGAGTTGCTGGTTGAAGTTAGACATCAAACACACTAAAGCAAAATGGTTTTGTTTCTTCGCTCTTCAAATCCAGACATCAGACTGAGCTTTAAAAAGCTCAAACACAGCTTGTGGTGCAGTAGGATGTCGATAATGAATTTGTTATTTCTTGAGTGCCTTTTGATACCCATCTTGAATACACCATAATTAAGATGCTTTAGAAAGATAGAAGGAATGCAAAGGAAAGCACAGGCCATTACAGTCAGACCTGAGGAACAGACAGCAAAGGGTTATAAAAATCAAAGTGCTCTGCATGCTTCAAAGGGATACTTTCATATTGTGTCTTTCTTTTGCATTCAGCATGATCTACACTCTGGTGAGCTCTTAACTGAAAGATCATTGCCAAGGACTGAAAACAACAAAGGCTGGAGGTGCAAGGACGAGTGAACCAAGGGGTGCATGATTAAAAAAAGCAAAGATGAAAACTTTGAACCCAAGCAGTAAATACGGTGATGAAAGAGAGATTCAGCAAAGAGAAGCAGAATACCATGGAAGAATGGCTGAGTTAATTCTGTTTGTCTCCTGTTTCTCAATGTATTGCAGCAAATGATTTTCAAATCCCAAGCAAACAAAAAAAATTGCAACAACGTGGGCCAAATTTTACAACTATTCACCTTTCCAGGGATAATGCTGCTTGGTTTAGCGGATTCATTAAAACTATAATGCCTATAGTCCCTGCTGTCTTCCAGGAAGCAACATTTCTTTTCTTAAGGACTATTCTGGACTGAGGAAGCACAGGACAAGATGATCCTACGCAGGAAGAAGAGCTGTACAACATTCTGAAAACAAGCAGTGAGCGGACTTCAGAAAAGATGTGTGACTGTCCTGCAGGGCTATTCTCATGACACTAGTCAAACAGGGATGTCAAATCTCATGGAACTGCTTCCCAGCCAAAACAACAATAACAAAAGAATTTGCAGTTTCAGTGTTCTGTATTCTAACTATGTGCTATTCCTGCAGGTGAACATCCAGGATATTTCTGTACTTCATTTGTGATATGCCAATACCATACAGTGAGATGTAGAAATACATTGGGTTTAACCTAATCAGGCCAAGCACTTATGAGAATAGAGTTTCTCTGACTGAAAAAAACAATAAACCAGAAAAACAAACAAAAAACCCACCACATACCAGGTAAAAACTGCATAAATTTAAAGAGGATTGTAACATAGCTATTATATTCATCACAATGCTGGATAGCGAATACTGGACCAGCTAATTGTGGTCTGTAATTCTGTTTTGCAGTTTTACTTCCGCTGTAAAATTTAAGCTGGAACAAATACACAAAATGTCTTTGTCTTGTATGAGGTTCCTATTGAAAGATGTTCAGTTTTTTATAATTTAAAGGTTTTAAAATTTTGTCATAGAATTCTCATTCTAATTCATTTATATGGGCTGCATATCTTTATACATATATATGTATATACAAATACATACCTACATAAATACAATCTATTTACATTTTAGGTCCATCTGTTTGACAAGTCAAAGGCATCAAGTGTCCTGAACTACTGCTAAATATATTTCAGTGCTGATCCAGGTAAACCCAGACTCATTCCCTCAGAGTCACTGCTGCTGTGGGTAGTAGCAAGGCTGTAAACTCGAGACTGACACCAGAGCCTTCACAGACACTGCTTGGCTCTAGCATTGGAAAGGAGCTGATAAGGTGGGTTTCTACCAGAGGTGGGCAGAGAACAGCGTGGAGAGGCCATCTGTCCCCTGGCTTGTTCACAGCTGGTCCTGTTAGCACGAGCTCTCTGCTCACCACGTTTGTTCTGGCTATTGAGAGCCAGTAGACTGAGCCTGTACCAAGCTCTGAGGTGTTTTTAGGCTGGGCACAGCAGTTCAGCTGGAGAGATGCAGTCTCACAATGGCTGCTGAGTCATCCCATGTCTGGCACGTTCCCTATGGAGCTGGAGTTACTGTGTGCCTGCAGTGCCAGGACTCACTCTGGTTTGGTCTGGCTATATTAACAGCATTAAATCCTGTTAACCAGCAAAACACAGTGGCTGCATGCTAACTCTGCTCCTGAACCATGCTAGCTCCCAAATCCTGCCTGGGCATTGCTTGGAATGGGCTGTACAAGCATTATCCTGGGGTCATTCTAACAATATTTATATGAAGTTGTCCCAAGGGGTGACATTCTTTAATTTACAGTAGTTTCATTCTTTAATTTTCAGTAGTTTTTACTGGATGCATTTTATCTTCATACAATGTAGTATACCCAGTTCTAGAAGCATAAGGCTGCCAAATCAGATGTTGGGAAGCTGATTTGTACTGTGGTGGTTCACAGGTTTGGATTGCACCCACCACAGAGGTGGCTGAACTGCTCTTGAAATCACACTGACCCTGCAGACAATACAGAGATGTTCTCTTGGAGTGAGCATGAGCTAAGGAACTTCACTGCATCATTACAGAGCTAACTGATGAAGCTCTGCTGCAGTGGAATAATTAGTGCTCAACCCGTGAAAAGCTGATGATTGTAACTGAATTTCTTCTCTGCATCCTAACTAAAGCATCTAGTTCTATAGCAGTATAGGAACTGAATTCACAAGAGCAAATCACAGTGAATAACTTCTAGGTGTCTTGCTACCTCATAAAACTTTCATCTCTGAGCAGGTGACTGAATCTTTCTGTGCATCTTCTAGGATTTCATAGGAAATGAAAAGAAATTACTTCAGGTTCCCTATATTCCAAATACATGCTTTCAAGTCAGTTTCATAGAAAGACTTGGAATTTTGTGAGGTTGGATGGGTGGAAGTATGATCACTTCTTGCCTGAAAACACACAAGTTTCAAATCCTGAGGTTCAGGAATGAGCTGGACTGGTAGGAGGTCAATTATTTGCATGCAGGGCTGAGTAAAAGCTCTGTGAGTTTTTGTAACTGGCATTGGCCTGTAATTTTTGACTTTGCAAAAAAGCAATTGTGTATGTGGGTCTTCTGAGTGTAACCTCAGGGGACTTCAAGGACTGGAGTGGATATGCTTGGTCATTTGAAAGAGGTTCTCTACTTCAGGCAACATCATCAATACACTTACCAAACTCCACTGGAAAGCAGAACACTTCATTTGATCCTACTACTGCCTTGAGTTTCCAGGATTTCACTGCTCTGGTATTTGATTTTTTTTTTTCTTTTTTTTTTTTTTTTTTCATTTCCAGAATAAATTTATTCTTAGAAAATTTATTCTACTTGCTTTTGAGCCAACATTAGCCTACTTACACTTCTCTCATGCTGCTTAAGATTTCAATATACAGAGAAAGAAGTCCTTTTCACCCTCCGTTCTGTTAAAAGTGAGTTGTCTTGTGTCCTCCCATAAAAAACTCTATTCTCCATGTCTTCTTTAAAGAGTTTTTCTGTTGTCTTTCCAGTCAAATAAATCTTTCTTAAGAGTGGATAATCACAGCTGGTCAGAGCATTCTGGAGAGTATCTCACTCTAATTAGTCCTTGCTGTGAATGGTCAGTAAAAGCTAAAAGTCTCAGTTCTTTCCAATAATACTTATTCAAAAAAGTAATCACACAGCTCTCAATAGCATTTTGTTTTTCTTTGATATAAATCTTAAAGCTGATGGAAAAACTGATTAATACTATGTTCCCTTTCATTGAATTTAGTCTGCAGAGCCAGGAGTTAGACTTGATGATCTTTGTGGGTCTCTTCCAGCTCAGGAGATTCAGTGATTCTGCTTTAACCAAAGCAAGGGAAGAATAGAAAAGAATACTGTGATCTTTGGTCACAAGGAAGTGTCTTCCCCATGTCACACTTTTGAGGGAGAAACAATCTATGCTATCCTTTTTGTCTCCAGGTCCTCCTTGTTGGTTAGTGGGGACTGGAGATTTCCTCTGCAAGTCTGCTTTCTTCCTGTCTCTTTTCCCAGAAGGCTGAATGTCACTATTTAGGAGCAGAGTTATCTTCTCTTCACAGAGAGAAGAATCTTCTGGGATTTTTTCTGATGGTACAGATAAATCCCAGAAAACACATCATCACCCTTTGCTCCTTCAGGAGCAGGTGTGAAATGCGCACGTTCTTAAATGAGTATTCATTTTCCCCAGCTGCACCATCTGTAAGTGAAAGAGGTGATACTTACCTTGGGAACTCTTCCCATACATGTTGTACTCTTTTTTTTTTTCCTTTTTTTTTTTTTCCCTGTAACTGTTGAATCTGCTTAAAAGAAAAAGGTAAGAGGTGCAATAAAATGGGAGAGGATGAGACCTGGATGAGCTGCTTACCAAAGAGGCACCTACACAGTGTGCTCGCCTTTAGCTGCCTGTTCCTGGAAGGGATGAAAGGCAAGGTCTCCTATTTATAGTCAGGTAATTGCAGTGATGCTGAATAAATTGTTGCTGCTCTGACTGTTTCAGTTTCAAGTACAGCAAATCAGTGCTGATAGCAGAATGCTTCGCCTACAAATAATTAACTGTACTTAAGCTGTCAGAAATGTTTTTCCATCTGCTTCCTTGAGCCGTATTCTTCCTTTTGCACTAAGCCCCTCAAAGAGAAAGAAAAACTTTTTCAACCCACACCTTACAGAAACTCAGAAACTGCTCTGAGGTTGTTATGATCTGGCAATGTTGTTGGGGTCATGAGTAATCCTACACTGTTAGCAAGGGTATTAGCAATCTATTGCTTTTCCTTTCTCCATTCCATCCCCACACAAGCATTTTTGCCAAAAAAAAAAGGAAAAATCACAGCGCATGATCCAAAATCCTTGAATTTACTGGGGGTTATTTGTTGTTTCCATTTAATGCCCATTCCCTCTATGTGGGGAATAGGTTCCCACTGGAAAGTCTCTAGACTTTTATTGGTAGGATCCTTTAGATCTTGATACCACATCTATTAAACTGAATTATGTTAATAGAAAGGGAACCTGCATTTTTGAGGGATAAGGGTAAAATTTCAATGCTTATGCTAAGCTACCACAGAAAATTATACCAACTTGATAAAAATCTGGCTACATGGAAGTTGATGGAAATCATACCTTTTGTTTCATGTGAGCCCCATGTAACACTGCATATTTTCTACCAAGAGATTGGTGGAAATTAAAAATAGAAAAAACCCCAAACAAATGCAAGAAGTTTAGTTCATCAAAAATGTTGTTGGATGTTAGAAAAGCTTGAGTTGCTATAAATACAACAGAAGATGAGAAGGTCAAAAGAAACCAAGAGTTGAGTTTTTTTTTCTTTGGGAAGCAACAAATACTAGGCTGCCATCCATGCTGCACTGAACTTTACATTGGTGATCTCAGTCCAGATTCCTGCTCTGGTGAGTTTTTCCATCATCCATTGCTCATGAACACATTGCTCTGATTTACTTTTTTTTCTGCTCAGTAACGCAGTTGCAGGTGGGAAGGAGGGAAAATTCTCCCGTGAAATACCATATTCCCCTTCTTTTCTCCCAGAGAACATGCTGTAACAAAATTCTGATGATGTGTTTCAGTGGTACACTTCAACCAAAGAATGAAGTTCTTTGCTGCAGACAATATTCTGATGCAATTAAATAAACCACAGGTCTAGAAATATTTTTTAGTGCTTGCACACTTGAAATAGTTATTTTATTACCTCTAATCGCTGGCCAACTTCCCATGTAAGAGAAAATATGCTTCTGTGGCCTTTCTGTGACATCAAACTCTCAGTAAAACTCTGAGGAATGTAAAGTGCTTTTTAATTTTTTTTTCTAATAATGAATCCCCATATTTGAATAATATGTTATGGCAATGGAATATAGCATTAAAAGCCAACATATCATGTTTAGTCTAAATCTCAAAGAGTTGTTGCTCCTTTCTTCCTATAAATTATCCCTAATATCACCAGTCTCCTGACAGACCTGAAGAAATTTGCCTGTCCCACTGTTCTGACAGTTTTGGTCTTTTTAAACAGATTTGCAGCCACTGATCATCAGTGTGAAATGCCGACTGGAAAAAACAACTTTTACAAGATTATGGAAACATTTTAAATAACACAGAAGTCATCCAGTCTTGTGGAATGGCTCTCACCTGTGCATAGTAATGTAAAGTACCAAGCACTTAATAGTGCAAGTAATACATAGTACAAGTCCTGTAGAACAAGCAAAGCAGGATTTCTCTCTGTGCTCTACGAGATCTTGTGAGATGGAGGCATTTCTCTCTCTGAGTACTGCCTGGTACTGCACAGCTGGAATTGGGAATTACACATCTAGATGCTATTATAATCCTAAATAATGAATAATTTTTCTCATGGGAGGAAACAATGGAATTCAGTGGAATTAGTCAAAATGCATTTGTTCTACTGCCACCAAGATGGGTACCTGACCTGGGCTGGTGCTGTGCCTCAGGGCCTGCTGACAAACTGAAGTGTGCATCAGCCTCTGAATGCATGTAGGCTGTAATTTGATGCTGCCAGAAAGCACTAAAATGTAAAGAACAGTGGTCAAAACTGCTCCCCATTTCAGAATTTTGCATCCTTCTAATTAATTTTGGCTTTGCCCATTTATCCTCTTTCTTCATCACACACTGGATCGTGTTTCATGCATCTTTCAGAGCTGCATTTAAAACAAACCCAGTGCAAGCTCAGACTGGAGCAGTGGCACTAGTTCTAATCCAAATCCTTCATCTGCTTGTGGATATTTATTTGAGAATAAAATTATCCTAGTTTGGTTGTAACTAGGTACAAATGGAAATTAGCTATTTTGATAGGCATCCTTTCATCCTAGAAAATTAATAAAGCTGCATTTGTACAGGAGTTTGATGTTTAAATGTGCATTAGCACAGATTTGTTATTAGCCTAGATCAGCAGCACAGAAGTTGCCTCAATCTGGAAAAGGATGATAAATTTTTGTAGGCTGCAAAGCTGCAGAGCTGTGTTCATGGGGGGAGCATGTCCCATTTACAGGCACTGGTGTAACCTTTCATGGTGGGGTCATGCAGGTTGGTGGGGGGCATTTGGCCTGTTTTAACCCTTGTTTCATCCACTACAGATTATATCACCCTTGAATTTTGCCACCTATTTTGATTCTAGATCCTCGAATTCAGCCCTGAAGCAGGCTTTTTTTAATACATATTGATACATGTTTATGTTGTCTAAGACATTGCATGAGATGAACTCTAAAGGAATATAAAGTGGGTTTTATATCCCTTTATTGTCTGTTTATAGGCTTTTAAATACTTTAGTCTTTAATTATGTGCTCCTTGATATGCACATACCCACATAGGCCATCTAAAAGCTAAATAAATTATTGTCTGTTAATATAATGAACAAAGGAAATGCTCTTCTGTTATATTTGTGTCTTATCTGCCACATAAAGCAGGTCCAAACAGTAACATTACTTACGGGGTTATACTAAACAAGAAAAGGAAGCTGTATTTCTAACATGTTAATTTAGAATACATTTTTGACAAGTGCTGCTGGCAGGTTCAGAGTTGCTGCTGTGGGATCATTGTAAGCCATGCCACCTCAGGTCATTTGAGAGCCTTTTCTCAAGGGATGTCAAAGATATTCCCTGAATGTGCTCTTTCTGGGAATCTTTGGCCTTGAAAACATAGATGCAGTTAGCAAGGTCTGCAGGAGAAAACAAAAGCTGATTAGTCCTGCCTGTCATCCAGAACACTGTCATAATCCCAGCAGTGCTTCGGTTTTGAATATCTGTGGAGGAATCTGTTGTATTTTCTAGCATGTGTTTGCCTTATGAGAGCAGCCAGTGCCCCTTTATGTTAATTATTAAATAAGATTGTTAAGTTGTATTGAAAAATGTGACTCATTCTTTCAAAACCTGTTGCCTTTAAGTAAGAAGCAGTATTTATCCTCCAAAAGCTTCCTGAGGTGGTAGTGGCAGCAGCAGAATTTTAATGTACCCTCTCTCATTCATCATTTGAAGTCTACAACAACAAGTGATGAATCTTTGATGAACCTTGTCACGCTTCCTTTGGATTGTAATAGCAGTTTTATAAGCTTCAAAGAAGTTCAGAAGTAATTTGCTATGACTGTATCTACTTTTTTTTTAATCTATGAGCACTCAGCCCAGCACTGGTACATCACTGGATTAGAAAGCCTTGTCCCTGTGTTTCTGGTGTAAATGAAAACCTGTGTGCCATATATTACAAGTATACTTTCCAGAGAAATCCCAATAAAAGCTGCCAGACCACAGAGATCCCTTTAAATAATAAATCCATTGATAGTATCTAGAGATAATCTCTTATTCTGGAGCACTGGAAGCAATTATGAATTGATGATGCTTCTTTTTATTTGATTGTAGGGCTCTTTTTTTCTCTGAGGCACATTTTGACACCCATGAAACATACTTCTATCTCCAGCAGATAGGGGTAGAGATTTTATCAGAGATAAAGAGTGTGTTCTCAAATGAGGACATTATTTTTGTCATTTCTTGTTTTGTCATCCTGTTTTTGTGCTTTGCTGTGCTAGAGGCTAGAGTCAGAACTACTGAGCACTCAAAGACCTGGAAACTTGTTTACTGTTAACACAACCTTTGCAGTCACCACTATTGTTGGCTACAAAAATAACTTGCCCTTTTAAAAGAAGTTTGCTCTGAAACTTTATGACTTGCAGAAACTCTGGATATAGTTCCTCTCTGGAATTAAAGCACATCTGCACAGCTGCAATGTTTCAAGCCTTTCAAAAAGACAGAGCAACCAATCTACAAAAGATTCCTGGCACTCTGCAAAGCCCAAACGGAGCAGAGCTGCTTTGCCACGTCCTTGCCAATGACTGAGGGTGATGTGCTCTTGGTTGGACTCCATCCAGCCTTGCTGATTCTGGCTGCTGGAATGGTTCCCAACAGGGAACTGCTGGCCAGGCTGAGATCAGCTCTCTTACCCTGTTAAATGATGGGCTACTCTGCCAGTTCTAGCTGTGTTTCTCCAGTGGTTCAGTTCAGCAATACATCAAAGGGATGCAGCAATACTGGAGAGGTACAGCAAAAATATACAGGTGGTTTAGTGCGTTTCTGCTGGTTGGTGGTGAGGCTACAGACTCCTTAAATGGTCTCAGGGCATTTCAGTATGACTTAACAAGGCTTTATGTGCAGAGGTAAATGTATCAGGGAAACTTCTTCATCAATAGCGGGTGAAATAGGTGACCAAATGATACCGGAAGTGTTATGTTCTCTTTTAAGCCTGACTTTGAGTCTGCAGTTGCTCCAGAATGTTCAGAAAACTCTCACAGCGTCAGTCTTTGTAATCTAGCTAAGAGATCAGCAAGACAGAAGATCCTGATGTATCACCTTTACAATATTCATTATCAAATTCTGTGATGAGTAACAATATCTTTTGTTAGTGAGCAATACCAGAATTCTTTGTGCTTCTGCACCTATCTTTCTATGCCTCATCTCGCTTTTTGTGATGCCATAGCTGCATATATTTTTGGCTGGGGTGATATCAACATTTTCATATTCTCTGTGTTATTCATTGTTCTACTTCACATGCAGCTGTGCGTGGTTTTCTTTTTCCTATGTTTAAATTGCAGCTGTCATGCAGGAGTCTTCCCTGAGCTCTCCAACTCTGATAACCTGTTGGGCAGATATCCAGCTGGGCAGATTGAACTGAGATTGGTCCAATTGGGCCAATTCCTTACTTGGATTTGGAATCCAAAAGAGCTACTTTTAAAAGTGAAATACCTTGCAATATCTGCTCTGGCTTCTGATTCTGCAGAAGCAGACAAGTACACCCCCAAATGGAAATATTGCTCATCCCAATTTCTCAAGCCAGGAGATGCAGATTTGGGAGAGGGAGAGGGTGAGGGAGAGGAGGACCACAGAAGTGGATGGAGAAAATTAACCTTGGAGGGAAGCAAGAGAGTATGACAAAAGCAAAACATCTGTTCTTCCCGAACAGCCAGTTCTGTTCCTCCAATCTGAGGAGGCTGCTTTGTTTTAATAATCAGTGTTATGGGTAGGTGGTCGTCTGAACAGGCCCACCATACCTTTTTTGGCGTAGATTTTTTGTGTCATTGCTGCAAATGTGAGAAGCAGATGAGCTATTGTACTCTGACACAGCTCAGTGTGTAATGATGGCCAACTGGCCTAAAATTTCTATGCTGCTGTTATTTCATCCCTGCCATAGAGATTAAAATACAGTATCTCGACACCACATTGTCAGGTTTATCTATAGCTTGCAAAAGAATTTGAATGCATCAAGTGTGGCACATTTCACTAATAAAATAAATCCTTTTCTAATGAATAGAGGCAGCATACTTTAATATTTCAAATACTTGACAGGGGAGCCTCGGTTTATTTCTGATTTCCCTAGTGACTTATTGTCAATGAGGCATCACTTCATTTTTAAGAACACTGATTTTTCCCTCTCCAAATTTGGTTGAGTGTTGAAACACCCTGCTTTGTGATGTATAAGGAAATTTCCAGATGGAGAATACCAGAGAGGAAAGCACATTATCACAGCTCACAAGTGCTGCGTACCCTTCAGAGGATTTTGAATGGTTAACAAATTGCATGTCTTCTTATGAAAACTGCCTTGGCAGCAGAAGTCTTAAAAATGGCACTGTGAAAATGATGGCATTGTTTTTAGGAAATTGTAAATCCTTATTTGCATAATAGCCCAGCAAGTTCATCTGTTCAGATCCTGCTTGCAAAAAAACCAATGCATTTTGTTGGTGCTCTGAGCAGTCCACAAACACGTGGGTTGTGACACAGGGCACAGAAGTTTTCCAGGTCTGACTGCAGGATGGCTCCTACGGTTATACTTGGCTGGCTGTTCTCAGAGTTACCTCATTTTATTCACATTCATCAAGTGAAAGGGGAGACAAAGACCCTCTGTAAAATTATGCTCCTGTAATCCTGTAATTCGGGTTGGTGAAATCAATTCCCTGGAGGATCCGAGAATGAAAACTCATGTAACCAATATTGAGGCCTGACAAGTGATCAGTCATCTCAATTACCAAAGTGAGCTTTTTGCTCTCAGCAGCACAGCAGGTTGAGCTCTGACTTACAGCAACAATTTCTTATAGTGGATCAAAGATCCATTAATTTTCATTTGGAGTATTTATTAGACAAGTTGGTCTTGCACAGTGGTATAGCAATTCCATTATATTTCTAGCCAAAAAAAATTACCGTTAAAAACAAAAAAACACATATATACTGGCTATTTATTATGATATCAGAAAGTTTGGATTAACTTTTGACAAGTCCATAAGGAGATGTTCTAGCTCTGTTCTCTGAATTTTGAACAGCAGCTCTTAGGGTGGGACTGGGTGATTCTCACCAGTGATGTGCTAACACATGAATTTCCAGAGCTCTTTAAAATCCTGGGGTAAAGAACAAAATTGAGTTAAAGTTGATTTGGTTTGGATTTCATTTATTGTAGGAATTGCAAGTCCCTTCCTATCTCCATAGCAGCAAATATTTCAAAGGCAATATCTATAAACTTTTACTATCTTCTCTTGTTCTCTGAAACAGTTGTAAGAGTAGAATTACTCTTCATTTTCTACATTAAATTTACTGTCTGAGCCCAAGCTGTGATGGATCCCAAACAACTAAATTTTATATCTCTGTTCTCAGACAAAACAATTTTGGTTTTTCAATGAGATTGAACTCTTCATTTGGTTATTTGTAATTTGAGAATATTCTGCCTAGGTCCTAATTTGGCTTTCTTGTTTCCTTCCAGTCATTTGAAGAGGCAAAGGTTTATAAACACTTTCTAAAGACAAGAGGTGAAAAATAAGAAACAAATATTAATTTCTGTTTATAAATTTAAAAGATATTATGTTATTTAAAAGTTTTTCTCTATTTATCTCTGTTGCACTGATAGTATCTTGGGGGAAATACTCTGGCTCAGCTTCACATAGGAGTTAATTGATGATTAGCCTGATGCAGCTAGAGGACAGTTTCACTTCCCTGCTGGTTTTTATTTTGGTAGTTTTTTTTTTTTTTTTTTTGGTTGTTTGTTTGTTTTACCTCTAAGCAGCTTGGGAAAGGCAAAAGGAAGAAGCTGTACTGCTAAAAGCACTGAAAAATGGGAAAAAAGGTAAAAAACACACGTGCACAAAAGACCCCCCCAAACACAAAAAATCTAGAGATGCTCTGATAAACCTGATAAAACATGCTAAAACCCACTAAAACATTAAAAATTACCTGAAGCACCAGAACACACCATGTGCTGTACATGACTTCATAGAATCCCAGGGCCTTCCAGCTTGTGCTGATGAGGTACCAGAGCTGGGACACACAGGAGCAGTGCTGGTCTCTGCCACACCACACACTGCGTCTTATTCCTGTTTCATGATG